TCTCCTGATTTTTTAATGATCACCATTCTAACTGGTGTGAGATGGTATCTCATTGTGGTTTTGATTTGCATTTCTCTAATGAGCAGTGATGATGAGCTTTTTTTCATATGTTTGTTGCCTGCATAAATGTCTTCTGTTGAGAAGTGTCTGTTCATATCCTTTGCCCACTTTTTGATGGGGTTGTTTTTTTCTTGTAAATTTGTTTAAGTTCTTTGTAGATTCTGGATATTAGCCCATTCTCAGATGGGTAAATTGGAAAAATGTTTTCCATTTTGTTGGTTGCCAGTTTAATGATAATTTATTTTGTTGTGCAGAAGCTCTTTAGTTTAATTAGATCCCATTTGTCTATTTTGGCTTTTGTTGACATTGCTTTTGGTGTTTTAGTCATGAAGTCCTTGCCCATACCTATGTCCTAAATGATATTGCCTAGGTTTTCTTCTTTGGTTTTTTATGGTGTTAGGTCTTATGTTTAAATCTTTAATCCATCTGGAGTTAATTGTTGTATAAGGTGTGAGGAAAGGATCCAGTTTCAGCTTTCTGCATATGGCTAGCCAGTTTTCGCAGCACCATATGTGTTTTAAAAGACCCTCTGTTTGCATTATGTGGAATGATTTTGGATGACTTATGACGAATATACAACAGATAGAGTGATTGCAGGCAAACTCTCTTCTACCTCAAACAGAAATATTTAATATATGTAATAAAACAAAAAGTTTAATACACAACTAGACTTGAAACCAAGATTGGGACATTCCAGCCATGTGCCATGGCTCACGCCTGTAATCCTAGCACTTTGGGAGGCTGAGGCAGGCAGATCACCTGAGGTCAGGAGTTCAAGACCAGCCTGGCCAACATGGTGAAACCCTGTCTCTACTAAAAATACAAAAATTAGCCGAGTGTGGTGGTATGTATCTGTAATCCCAGCTATTCAGGAGGCTGAGGCAGGAGAATTGCTTGAACCAGGAGGCAGACGTTGCAGTGAGCCAGGATCACACCACTGTACTCCAGCCTGGGTGACAGAGTGAGACTCTGTCTCAAAAAGAAAAAAAAAAAGGAAGTCTCTAGGTGCCAGAAATGAATGGAACCTAAAATGTAGAGAGTGAGTGAAAGTGGAGACCAATGAGTTCATAGAGACTTGAAACCAGATATAAGCCTAATGGCTGGGTACTAGGGCTTCAACAGTGAGATGCGAGTCTCAAAAGACCTTCTGTGTGTGAAATGAGGACTAGACAAACACTAATCATTGACCCGGGACTCAAAAGGGAATGCAAGTAAGTCTACCATTACGCAGAAATGTAAGTAGAAAGAGTCAGCTAGGAAAAAATTCACACTTTTGCTCTTTCTAAGTGGTCCAAATTCAGAATACCCAAGTGTTACTGAAATATCAAGCTGAAAAACTAACAAAAAGCTGATTCTGGACCAATGAAACCTAAAGATCCCATAGAAAAAGCACAGAACTGTACTGTAAGGCTATTGCCATAATCCAGTTATCACAAAGAAAGCTGTGGAAAACAAAATCCTGCTGAAAATGACCTTACAGGGAAAACTTACCCAATGAAAAAGGAAACAAATCATCAAGAAGAAAAGTCTGCAGATGCAACCAGTGGGAGAAATTGGTTCCAAGAAGTGTCAGTAATATAAGAAAAAAATCTGAATTTAAAATATGTTTAAAATGCTTAAACACATGGAGAGAAGACTGAAAACCATAAGGCAAGAAAGGACAGTAAGAAAAAATAATAGGTATGTTTGAAAAAGAGGCTTCATTCTGATTTTTCTCAGATTAATTTTTATGTTTTCTGTATATCTACAGTTTTTTCTAGTGTTGTGGTCCTAATTGACTTGGATATTAGATACCAGGAGTATTAAGGACTCATATTCTTAAAGAAGGAAGATTTGGCTCATCCACTGGACAGAGAACCATAGTGGTCTAAGGCAGTGACACAGGACAAGAAGAATATGGAATGGTTAGTGGGGGAGGGCAGTCACCAGTGTGACCCTCCAGAGTCATGATGGGTTGTAGAGATAAGGAATGTAGCCTCAACATTCCTGAAACCACTAGCCTACCGTCCTTTTAAGAGCCTTCAAGTCTAATACTGCCATCCTCCACAGATTTGTCATAGTAATCACAAGAAATCTGACCCTAACCTCGGTGGTCATCTTCCACCACATCATCACATACTGCTTCCCTTTCCAGCCTTTCCACTGTCCTCCAGCACTTCCTTTCTAAAATCGGTAGATTCTTTTCTATATGCACCTTCTTGTTGAAATATTTGCTTCACTTCTTCACCTTAACTGTCCCCTAAAGACATGGCTTACTCTGGCTGTCCCCTAAGATTCTGCTTACCCGGTAGCCCTCTTAGGCAGAGGCTGCCTTCGTTGTCAGGAAGTGAGCCTCCACTGCTCCTCCTCAATTAGTTCTCATCTTTCCTCTTAGCTCTTTTGAATTCATCACTTGACTATACCAGCCTGTCTCTAATTGTCCTGCCTACTGATCTCCCCATCACTGTCTCACAGGGAAGATTTTAGTACCTGTGTTACTTTCTCTCTTCCCCAGCACACGCCATCATTGTTGGTGGCTTCAGCCTTCCATGAATGACCTATCTAATGCCCTGCTCTCCTCACATTTAGTAGTCCTTTTTTCTGCCCCTGCCCACCTCAATAACCTATGTTATGGTCACACTCTAAATTTCATCAAAAGTAATTGAACTTCCTTTAAAGCCCCTATCCCTCTCTAGCCAATATATTTCATCTTCAGTTCACTTATATGAACTGGAGTACATTCTCTGTGTGATTCTGTAACCCTATTGATATGTCTAGTTCATTAACCCCCAACCCTTCTTATTGCCCATCTGATCCCTCTTTCTCCAAGTCCACTTAAATCTCAGGGTCCATCATTATAATCTCTCTCTTACATATATTCTCAGAATCTTCAGATTTAGCCCAACAGCAATATAGATCTTCCCAAACCTGTATTTTCAAGAAAAACTTCACACTACATAATGCCACCTATCCCTTGCAGGGAGCAATTTACTGTTACAAAGATACACGTAGCAGAGTCTCATCAGTTGCTACAACTTGTTCCATATCAAGGATGTCTGTGATAAGCATTCTTCCTCTGGTTCTTTCATAACCCTATTTAGATATATTTTAACCAGTGAGCAAAATTGAGAAGTTAACCAACACAATGTACATAAAATACTAGGGCAAAGAGAGAGAAAGGAAGGAAAAAAGGAAAAAGTACAGCATATTAAGTACTATATAGTATGATCCCCACCTTAGACACCTGCAGACACACACACACATGAAAGAGTAAAATAATGTTTTAAAAGATAAATACTCAGAGGATTCTAGGAAGATGGCAGAGTAGGAAGCACCAGGAATCTGTCTCCCCACCCAGACAATTACAGTGGCAGAATTTGTCTGGTGTAACTATTTTGGAGCTCTGAAGCCTGTGAAGTCCTGCAACTTCCAAGGGAAAGCTTAGATGATAAACTGTGATTAATTTTGTTCAATTTCAACTCTTAGCATAGTAACAACTACCTATCCCTCACCTTCCAGCCCCGTGACAGGCAGCTGTACACATGTTTCCAGAGCAGCTTGAATGCAGTTTGCAAGAGCCAAGAGGGGCAAAAGGACCCTGTCTTTCAAATACTTGGGATCTGTGCCCTGATTGGTATTTCTGATCACAGGGGCAAAGAAAAAGAGGCAGAGACCATTGTTCTTACACCTCCTCCCATAGTAATAAATCCCTTTGGTTGAAGTGACTTCTAGGATTAATGTGCTTGCACCCTTCCCTCCCTCTTCATTTTTCTCTTTTATTTCCTGTTGGGAGCCAGACTTAAGACTAGGATATTCAAAAGCAGTTGCATATACAGGAAAAATTAGAAGGTGATCATAA